AAAAAGAAAGCGCCACAGGCATCTATGAGAAGAAGTCACGTGACCAAAAAGAACCTAAAGGAAAAAAAATATGAGATAAGGAGGATGAGTTAAGAGGGGAAATAAAGAGACTCCCCTGAAGGAAAAGAGATTTCAAAGGAAGAAACTCAGAATACAACTTTAACCTTAAACCCTAAAGAGTGTGCCGCGTAACTCTAAGGAGAGAGCCACCCCGGAGTTAATTCAAGAAATTAATATTAGATGACAACAATTAACTAACATGTTAAAAGAACAATAACCCAAAATTGCAGCTTGACAAGCCAGAAACAGAAGCTATCAAGCTTGGGACTGAAAAACAAAAGACCCCACAACGAAAGAAAACTCTTGGTTGAGTTGCCCATTTCAGTCTACCAAAAATGTCAATTTAAAATGCATTCTTCCCTTTTGGTACTTGCAAGTGCTTCCCAATACATATTTAAATGATTAGAGGTGGAATATGGCTAATTCTCCTCGGGATTTTGTGTAACACCCATATATTTTAATAAATTGATTAAAAATTGAAGTTTTTTATTTTAAAGTCTTGAGAATTAAATTGATTAAATTTAAAATTTGAGGACTGTAAATGAAATTTAATGAAAGTTAAAAGATGTTTAATTCTATTATTCGAATTTTTGTGCCATGTGACACAATTTTTACCAGGTTTGGATTTGAAAGGCCTTACAAAGCCGTGTCTTCCTCTAGAAGATTCAGAAAACAAAACTCATTCCTCTGCGTCCTTCCTCTTTATTCCAGCCGGCCCTTGCACCTTCCCCTCTTTTTCAACCGAGTGTGAAGTGTGGGGACAAACTCTCCCATTGAAGTTCTTTGCCATTTCTGCTGTTTTGTCTCAATTTGGTACTTTGATTTCCATAGATAAGAATGAGTTATAGTTATAAATTTGGGTTATAGTTTTGAATAAATTATAAATTTACTGTTATATATTGAAAAATTAATTTAAATTAGTGAAATTGACTCTAAATCCTTTGTTTAAAGATTTTGGGTATTAAGATTTTATCTAAAACTATTTGGATTTTTGGGTATAGATACTGTATAGAATTAGAAGTGGGTTTCATTTTGATGCTGGAATTTTATGTGAATTATATTGATTGATATCTTGCCATTATTATTTTGGTATTTCCCTGTATAATCGTGCGAAATTTTTTGAAAAATTACATGATAAAGCAAAATTTTGTGAATATTTAATTGGAGTTTGGGTGCTGCCATGGCTTGTTGCCCTTGATTTGAATTTTGGTTGATTAATTATGCTTTAATTGTGCTCTTAAAATAAGAAATTAATTTTAACTCTTATAAATGTCGTCATACTTGAGATATTTAAAGTGGATTGCTTTAGAAATGCAATTGATTATGTGAAATAATAAATGAATAGAATTATTCCTATAATTATTTTGAATGTATTTTGAATTTTGTTTGACATGTGTAGTATTTGCGGTTCTGAAGTAAGTGGAGCTAAATTTAAAACTTAGGATATTTAGTTGATCCTTCAGGATATTTAGTAGACTTCTACGTAGAAGAGTAGGTGTCGTGATTAGATCTGGTATAAGAGGCTAACACACATCAATAGACTCCATAACATTATATGATTTTCGTTTTATATATTACGGTTGTGACATCACATTGGTGAGCATATAGTTTTATGACAAGGATTTGATTTAAATGTTATTGGATATTCTTTGACATGTTTGATCGTTTGTGAATAACTTTGTGATATTAAATTATTATTTGAATACTAAGGTTTGCAATATTATGTGACTTGATTCAATTATCCGTTATGTTCTTCATGTGTGTAGGTTTAGAGATCTTAGGATCTAAGTTTGTAACTCTAACTCAATACTTACTAAACTTTTTAGCTCATAATATTTTCCCTCATTTCATATTAGTAGATTGAAGTAGCAGCCACTCAATTTGAGAGCTTTCAGTATAAATCTCGTATGTTGACCTCAGTGCTTTTGATGTGAAAGCAAATTAATGTGTTATCAAAATGATAATTTTGTTTTTATTATTTTGGAAAGTTTTTGAAAGTCATTTGTTCTCATGCATTTTTTATATAAATTATTTTTATATATATGATATTAAGATTAATTTAAATGGACATAACCTAACTTATTT